TGCATACTAAACATGCCGGGGCGCGGGGTACAATGGCGTTTCGTAAGGAAAATGTCCAATAATGCGATTGCATATGCAGAACGGATTAGCGAAATCCGTCGAGTGCAAGCCTTAGTTCGTGTGTGTGCGCCGTCCGATGTGCACCGGGGATAATCGATCGGGAACAGACCGATGTGAAAACGCTGGCCCCTACCTTTGCATCAAAGGCAAACGAGAAGCGTTCCCTCTTGAGTACACGGACGGTGCACGAGGTGATCTAACTTTATGACCCGGGATTACTCTTATTTCCCGCGAAAAGGGGGAAAGAAGTTGCGCCCAATGAAAGTTGCCCGGAACACCTCCGTGAAAGGAGAGTCGTCCATTTTGGCCGCCTCGAGACGGTCGAGAGAAAAAAAAAAAAGAAGAAAAGTCCAGCCGGCTCGGAAATTAAACGACACGTTGAGTGCGTTCCTTTTTTCTCTCTCTCTCTCCTTCTCTCTTCTAACCGTATTTATTTTCTCCGTTGCAGATCGTGGGTGAGGGCGAGAAGGGGACACTCGCTGCAGGTTCCGACGTCGAACGTAAGTCCTGCCCGAAGTGAACTGGGTGAGAAAATTCAGTTGGTGGTTCTTACGAGGAGTCGGGGCCGCATTCCGATTCGGTATACGATTTCCTCCAGTGTGGCAGTTTAGGGTACACGTGATCTCATAACGAATTCAGACGTAACGTACGGACGAGCGAAGCGTGCTTCCTCGTAATTATTTACCCCGTTCCAGTTAAATGTGTGATAAACGCGACCCGATATACCCACACGTGAGACCGAGGTACTCGAGGTACATAATGGAACCGGCACCTTGGAGCGCCAAAACGGCGTTTTGGGGCCCTGACAGTACCGAGTACACGTACCGGAGTCCCTTCCCCGATCTGGCGCTATCGAAGAGAATATCGGCTACGCGAAAGTAAAGGTGATAACATCGAAAAGGATTGTTTGGCGTCGCTTCTTTTCTTTTTTTTTTTTTTCTTCTTTTTCAGGAAACTCGCGGCCGGTCGTTACGTTAACGTGGACAGTGCCGGGCGATTACGCAAGGCCGACTCCGAAATGGTCGTATCGCATTTGCGTCGAGAACGAACGACCTTCCCCCATATCCGAGATGTAAATATCCCATGCGTCTAGATACTCACCGGGATAATCCAGACGGCACACCCGAGGGAACGGAAGCGCGAAGTTAACGACTGGCCTATCTTTTTCTAAATTCCCACGATTTACGAGGTGGGAGGGGGGTGGAATTTCTGGTAAATCACGCGCTATAAGGAACGGTCCGGATCCCTGGCCGCTGTGTATTTAATGGGATCATCCCGAAAATGGTGGAAACTTTCGTCGGGACACGGGGAGGGAATATTTGGCGAATTTTCGTCGGGCCGAAAATCGCCGACCGCCGGGCGAGAAATGGCCGGTCGTTCCGGGGGCGAAGGGGATGGTCCTGTAGGGACGTCGGGATAAAGGGCGATTCGGCTCGGCTCGGGGATGCGGCTTCACGGATCGAAATACAAAACGGCCTCGCCCTCGTCGATGGAATAGAGATCTGGCCGGGAAAATAAGTTTTTTCTTACAAGCTGATTACGTCATTAGTCGGCACTCGAGGTAGAGAACTCGAGAGGAACCGGTCGACCCGGTGGAGTCTTCCATCTCTGGACTCGAAACGTGGTAGGTGGCGCTCTACAGGCCGTTTCAATAAAATCGTAAACACGCTACTCGAATCAACGACACCGTAAAGATGTTCGAGCTAACGCGAGCGGTAACGACGGAGTCGGTTGGGAGTCGAAATGGCTCGAAGGACCAAAACCATCCGGCATTTTGTTATCCCTGTTGGACCGCATTTGGCGGTTCCGGATATGGGTCCTTTAAATCGACGATATCGCGCCTTACAATATCGTGTGAGAGACGTGGTATGTCAATCGGGCCAAACGTAAACAAAACGTATGAGAGACGTGTGAGACTTTGAATGTTCAGTCAAACCGTGAAATGGCCCGATGTATGACCGACACTTTTGTTGTTTATGGCACGCGCTATTGGAATTTAAATCGTAAGGCAAGGGGTTAAAGGACGAGCCCAAGGACCCGGAATCGCCGCTCCGCGTAATTTAGCTCCGAAACGCAGGATCGCCCGGATGGTCCCAGGACGAAGGAGCCGGGAGGTGACGAAAGATCGTCCTGGGTGGAGGCGAAACTCCGCTAAATTACGGTCGCCACTTAGACGTGCTAGTTTGACGGATCGTCTCCATTTCTCCTCGCGTTTCCCATCCAGCAATTAGACGGGTTACCGCGACATGTAGCATCGAAGTTCATGCCACCAGTAGTTGGTCCGTTCGGCCTGGAATCGAGGGCTCGTAACTGCGAGAACAAGCTTCCTTTTGTTCTCCGAGACGTCCCTCGGCCACCGGAGTGGAGCACCGGAGGTCCGACCACGCGGAGGATATAATTCGAGGAATATCCAAATTTCTGGGATATACTTTCCGGAAGGGTTCCCTCTTTGATCGAGGTGCCTCCAGGTGTGGCCTCAAATCGGCATCGACAACGAATTCTCGATGTAGAGGCACTTCGATGATGCCCTCTCTGGTCCTCCTCTTCGACTTACGGCGCGTACCGCTCAACGGTAATTACTTTACGCCGACGTTTCTTTGAAAGCCAGGGCCCTCTTCCGTAAAACTTTACTTCCGGTGTTTACCTACTTCTCATTCTCGGAGCCTCAATTCTTAACCCCCGCAGGATAGCGGCGTCCTATTAAGCCCTGAAAGCTTTAACGAGGACTTTTAACGACCGCTCGCGTAAATTCGCGTCGATCCGCGTCTATACGAAGGTATACGGCCCCATTACACGCTGCGGCCCGGACGAACCTGGAGAACCTGGCAAACCGGTGAACCAGGGAAATCGAGCGAACCGTCGCAGCCCTAGACGCGGTGGACCTAGGGAAACCGGGCGACGCGACCCATCTCGAGGACAGGAACCGCGTCCGGGGAATAATAAAACCGCCGGGGTCCGTCTCGGCGCGAGTCGGCGACAATTAAAAAGGGGATCGTCAGAGATTGGAGGAGCGACGTAGTAGGGCCGATCGTCGTCCTCCCGGGTCCGGAGGACCGCCTCCCGGCCGGATCGCGTGGCTCCCAATTAAACGTCACTCTCCCTTCGTGGGTCGTTTATTCCGCGGCGGAAAGGCCGAGGCCCGATTTCGCCCGGCGACAAAGGACCGGCTCGGGCGTCTAAAATTTCCAGACGCGGCGGTGCCCCCCTAACGGCCGCCCCGTAAGCGTTAACTAAGCCGCACGTAATGACGCCTCCGGAAAGGAACGAGACCGAGCGTTCGCTTTGCCTCCGACTTCCCCGGATTCCTTCTCTCCGCCGCTTCCTCCGTCTTGTCGGTAGGAAATGAAAGGACGGAACGAACGAACCGAGTCGGTAATCGGACCCGCCGCTGGAGCGACAAGCCACCGCGCTTTTCCGCTCCACCGCGGGATCCCTGCGGAAATATTCCGCGCGGTATGGAGCTCCCGTTCCCGGTCCCCGATAAAATAGGCGCGGGTGGGTCCCTACGTCGAATTCTCGCCTCGGCGACAAGAGTCCTCGAATTATCGTCGAGGCGCTTCCAGGACTCCTCTTCCGTTTCCCGATCCTCCCTCCACCTGGGTGATCGGAATCGCGTCGATCGGGTCCCCGACGTTGGCGGCCTCGACGAGGGTATTCCCCTGAAATTAGCTTGGATAAAAGCACATTAATAACATCCTCCGAGTCATTATCTCGGTAGTGCTACCACCCGTTACCCGGTGACGGCCGACAAGGCCATAATACCCGGACAAAAGTGAGCTCCCCGGTATCCTCTTTCGACCTCCGTGCTCCACTTTATCCCGGGAGCCCCGTAGTCCTCTACTTAGCCTCCACGCTTTTGGGTCACGGGGGGTCCCCGTTCGCCCACGACGAGCCTATTCGTCCTCGGTGCGCCAGGCCCGGGTCTAAATTCCCATAGCGTCGTCATCCTCCCATTGTAGCGTCCTCCGGGCATTTGGAGTCCCGGAACCGGACTCGCGCTCTGGAATCAGGTACCGGAATTAAACTCTCGATACTCCCTTGAACCGCGCCTTGGCCTGGGAGCCCGAAGGCACCTTCGCCAAATAAATAGAAAAAAGAAAAACAAGAAGGAATACAGAGAAAATAAACACGGACGATGCGAACCGCAAATCGAATAAACCGATTGCCGGGCAGAAAATGGCCGCGTTCCTCGCCGCGGTCCGTGCACTCTCCCTAATTCTCCCGGTTTCGCTCTCGTTTTCACCTGGCGCGTCGAACGTCCGACTCGTCGTAAAGGTTGTCGGGGAATACGAAGCGATCGTTTAAACGGAGGAGGGAGCGTCGCGCGGGGCGCGTTAATACACCTCGATCAGGAATTAACGTCGCCCCCGCATGAGCGGGAGAGAAACAGAAGGAAAGAGAGAGCGCCGGCCCTCTCTCGGCAGGGCCGGAGAAACGACCTAGGCGCGCGGCGAGAAGGCAGGCCTGGTATAGACGTTGACTCGACCGATGTCTAAAGCTTCTCGGGAGCACCCTTGGACCTTTCCACCTAACGGTTCGCGCCGACAGAGAGAGCGAGCCGGACGCATCCTCGGTGACCGCGGCGAGCGTCGCCGGCGAGCGCGTCGGCGGGCAGGGGAGGGAGCGAGAGGCCTCGGCACGCGCGGGAGAGCGAGCGGGACGGAGCGACGGCGAGTCGAGGGAGAGGGTCGGATGCGGGCGGCAGGGGCGGGAGAGAGAGGGGGACCTCTGTCGGCCGCGGGTGCGGGCGGCGAAAGAGAGAGGCCCGGTGGTGGGGGTAGCCGGCCGAAGGCTGGCGGGGCGCGCGAGGGGAAGGCGTCGCGCTAGACTCGGGCGCAGTGGTGGGGGGAGCCGGGCGCGTGGTGGGGCGGGGGACGCTCTCTCGGCCCCCCGATCGCTCAGTTTCACCGCTGGCTTCGTCGAGAGAGGGTCGTGCGCGCTCGCGTCTTGCCCTCTCCTCGGACCCGAGTGCACCGCCGGACTCCCGACCGCCGACTCGACGCGGACCCGCCGGAGCGATGCCCGAGCCCCCGGCGGACCCGTGAACGCCGTCCTGACCAGAGACGCGGTGCGCCCCGCCGGACCGCCGCCACTGGATCTCGGCCCGGGAGCGAGGCGCCGCGCTGAGCGCGCGTCCGGTGACCGCGGCCTCCGGGGCTGCGCACCCTCGGCCGCCTGCTGCGCTCGCTGACCGATCCCACCCCCAGGTGGACCACGAGGTGACCCCGCGAGTTCCGTGCGCGAGAAGTGGCGCCGCGCGCAGTGCCCCCTACCTGCGACACCTCCGCCGAGAAAACGGTACCGGGATTGTGATCAGTGCGTGACGCGGCGCGTCCGACGGCCACCGACGTCCACGCGCGTCGGATCATGCGACACCCCTCGCCCGGAATCCCGCACCCTGTAAGTATACGCACAACGTGGAGAGGGTCGCGAGGTGTCCCTCTCGGGGACCCGGTGTTGCCGCCAGACGGACGCCTCTCTTCCCCGCCGCATGCGGGAAGGGGCAAGGTCGGAGCCGCGGGAAAACTCGCCCCGGCATCCCGAGGGACCCGGGCCTTGCGCCGTTAATCGACTCCGCGCCGGGCCCCAGGTTTACGCCCCACGAGGGTAACGAGTATTTATACATTATCTTCTTCTTTGTTTCTTTTTTTTTCTCCTTCCCGCAAACGCGGGGAAGGGATTCGAGGTACTGGCAGGTGCGCGTATACCGGGCACCCGGAGTTTCGACCCGACGAAATTTCATTCCCGATGCCCGCCTCGGGGAAAACTGCGGCATATATCCCGGGTTTATATCCTGACGAATGTCCTCGGCCGGTTTCTGTTTAGCCGGCCGGAAAAGTGCGACGAAGGGCGGGCGACGGGCGCAGTCGTGCGGCTCGCTCCGCGGAAACTCGGGAGCGTCTGCCGACGAAGTTGTTCCCTCGAATCGGGTTCCCCTCTCCTTTTTCTTTCTTTTTTTTTTTTCCTTTCCTTTCTTTCCGTGTTGCCGGAATTTCGAGAACGTCGTCGTCGCGGTTTTTCCCCCGGTTTTCGGACCGAGTGATCGTTAAGTTTCCATCGTTACTCTGGATTTTCGGAGACGCGAGGGCGCCCTGGAAATAATCGACGCATCGAGCGCGCCTCGTTTGGGAAATACTTACCGAAATTCTTTTCTGCGACGTTTTCCCGCCGATTCGTCGAGCGGCATATCCGCGCTGTGTAATCGGGAGAGATGAACAATCGGCGAAATACCTAAATCGGGGTTTGGAGCCATGTTACGTCGGACAGTTTTCCTGGATTTCTGTTTATCGCGGACCTAGGGACTTTTCCCATATTCGGGGATAATTTCGAAGCACGTGTCGGGAGAATTTGTGTCGCGGGGGGAGGGCCGACGGAATGGATTTCACGAGGTTTTCGAACGGGTCGAATTTCCGTACTCGATCGCTGATTATGTAATTGCGCTGTAAACACGCGCTACATTATCATCGGGGCCACGTTCTATTTACGCGTACCTGGGTTTCATGGAACGGACGAGGAAAAACCGAATCCCCAAATGTTGGCTCTTCGGTCGTGGTTTGGATTTTCCGACGGGTCGGTGTTACCCGTAATCGAGGTGCATTTCTCTGTTATCAAAGCGATTCGTTAAATGCGGCTCGGCAGGGAGGCTAGCGACGATCCTTTTAAAATCTCGGCGTACTCCCAATCGGTATTAAAAGTGCCCTCTGCAATCGAGAATCGACTTTTAATCGTCGCACCCGAAGGGAGCCTCTGACGAGTCCATCTCGTGGAAAACTCCCGTGCGGTCCGCGGCGGGAAAAGTGCATTCGCGCGGGAGTATTTTTCGACCTTTCGACGCGCCATCGACGTCGATTGATCTCGATTTTCCCGGAAAAATCGGGACCCGGAGGCGCCTCGACGCCGGTGCTTTTTGCCGGCGGAATCGTTCCCGTCGTTACTAAACCGCACCTCGGAATGAAATTTGACGCGACTTCTTTCCTTGCAGTTTTCCATGCCAATGTTGTCTGCGTCTTTTGGCTCGCTCGTCGACGCCGTTTCGATTTTTTCCTCGCCGTGATTTATCGCTCGGCGGAAAAATCTTGCCGGGGGGGACGGCCTTTCGAAGATGTCGAGGTCGAGTCGCGCACCTTGACGCGACGTGCGCGGATCGTGTTCTCGCTCTCGGTGCCGACGAGGGGAACAGGTTTTTCCGGCCGGGATTTTTCCCGAGTCGAGGGTCGCGTTTTTCAGGGTCGCGCGCGGGTGGGGACTCTCTGTTCAGTCCCCGAGTCGTTATCGACGGACCCAAAGCGAGGATGACACCGAGCGGTCGTCGCCATTCCGTCACGTTAGCGCGGCATTGCCAAGGGGTCGGCAAATTTCGTATCCTATCCATTTCGAGGCGGTAATCTTTCAGTGGTATCCTTGATTTCCCGATTTCGTGAGTTCTCGAAGGGACGTCGTCGACGATACCTTCAGACCTCTCCTGCAGATCGTACACTATTTACAATACGCTGAAGAAAATATTCAACGTGTTATGGTGATATGAAAGTGTCATGTACGTACCGAAAAGTAAAAACGTGTTTATATGACTTTTCTCCAAACTGGGTGCACCGAATCATTTGAAACTTCATCGCGAGATTATGGAAGCCCTAAGGAAGAACGCGATGCTCGTGGAATTTCATTTCTTGCGAAGAAATTTGTATTTGTCTCGGACAGGAACCGAAGAGGAGATTTTTTTTTTCTCGGAAAAATATAGTTTCACGAGCATGGCGTTCTTCATTAGGGGCCTCCATTATCACGTATTAAAGTTTCAGATAATTCGGCGCACCCGGTTTGGAGAAAAGCTTTGTAAATATTTTCCCTTTCATATCACATTAAGGGGATGTCAAAGTGGCAGCGAAGAGGTCTCGTTTATGAAACTCCTCCGAATTGGGTTTACCGAATCATTTCACACTTCGCAATGTGAATGTGGAGATTATAAGGAAGGTCCTGAAGCTCATGAGATTTCAATTTTTTTTTTTTGAACAATTTCTTTATGGGTATTTTAAAAATATTGTATTGAAAATGAAATTTCACGAGTGTCAGGACCTTCCTCATGGATTCCATGTTCATGTGGAAAAATTTCAAACGGTTCGGTGCGCCCAGTTAAGGGAAGAGTTTCATGAACGATCGACCCCTGAGATGCCACCTTCACGTCCCCTTAAAATGAGAGATACCTCGATTCTTAACTTTTGGTCCGTTATAATAAATACCCTGACAAATGACACACCCTGGGTATGAATGTAATTCGGCAGATGATACTGTCCCGCAAATCGTACACTGTTTACCAAATGTTGGAACGAACCAGATGAGGAGGGAAGATTTTTTCCGAACGAATTGAATTTTTCCTCTACGTACACGGGGTCTCTCTTCGACCGCGACCGTGACTGGCGTATCCACTCTCTCTCTCTCTCTCTCTCTCTTTTCTCTCTCTCTATCTCTCCGTCTACTCTGGCCAGGAGGGGTCGATTCGAGTTTCCACTCGGACTTATCGGCGGATTCGCGGAGCCGGTCTGCGCCGAAAGCCGAAAAGTCGGCATCCGGCGCGTTCCGGAGGCCCGGTGGTCTTTCCGTCCGTATGTCGGGGTCGGACCTCTCGTGTCCCGGCCGGCCGGGAGATTAGATCTTAAAGGAGCAAGCGCCGGCGGGCCGGCGATAAAATTTGGAAAATCTCGCGCGTCACGGTGCCGGCTCCACGGACTGCATCTTTCTCTTTCTCTCTCCCTCCCCCTCCGGCGGGCGTTCCGCGCGTCTCTGGTTATTAATCCCGCGACCTAAAGGACTGTTCAGGTTTTCTCGACTTGACTCCACCTCGAGATACTCCCAGTATCGGCGGAAAATCCTCGAGAATCGGCGATACCTTCTCTTAGGAGCGTCCGACTCGAGCAGTGTGGAAATCGCCGCTTGTCTCGCATTTCCGACGTATCGATCCAGGCCCCGCAACGATTGATCGGGGGTGGGTAATGAGGAACCCACCCCGCGACGTTAGGGGCGCAACTTGTCCCGACGCTCTTTTACGTAGGCGTAAGGAGTAAATCGACGTCGAGGCGACGCGCGCCCCGGCGTTACGCCCGATGAATCGTTTCGAGACGGCCTTTCTTGCGGACGTATCTGGATTACGGATCGTTAAGGTGAAGTGAAACCCCTCTCAAATCAGTCGATTTGAATACACTTTTTTTTTTTTTAAAGGGTATTAGACCATACTGTCCGAAACTTTGACACATCACTCCTGATCATCTAAGAATTGTCCTGACACATTGAAATTTTGGATTTTTAAAAAAAAATTTTTTCACCCAGCCCAGATCATAACCAAAATGGCGTCGAGCTCTCATATTTCGATCGATATACAATTATCGGAGGCCCCGATATGAGAAACGAATGGGTCAGGACAATTTTACGACAATTTAGAACACTCTGGTAATCGATGAACTCGCATTTGAACGGGAGTAAAGGCAAAAAAAGTGTTGTATGCGCTTCCATGTTAAAACGATGGGAATTCGAGGTCTCGGAGTGAAAATTTAATTGACCTGGAAATCACAGATGGCGCGGGGGGTCGCTCTGCAGTCAATTAGGGCCTCAGGAAGCATGAATCTAGAGGATTTCTGGAGTTTCACTTCAATTTCTTGATTTTTATTGTGCGAAAATGACGGGTGGAGTATGCCATTTGGTATAATATCCAATATAACACGACCCAGCTGTCAATATAAAAACAAACCTCGGCAACGTAGGCATTTAGAAAAATCCTTATCGACGTCGATCAAGTTCCTCGACGTGTTTCACTTCACCTTAACCCGACCGCGCCTCGTACCCGTGGAATCGAGGATTTAAATGCTACGAGAAGGAAGAGGGGATTTAGGTGCACGTCCGAGCGAGTCTGGCTCGCGCGAGTAGTGGTCGCCCGCGCGAGTGCGCCCTCTCGCTTCCCTACCGCGTACTTTGCATGTCCGCGAAGCAGGGGCGATCGGTTATTACGCCGTTCGGAGGAGCATTGTGCTCTAAAGAGGGAATGCGCACTTGTTCGCCCTCGCTCTTTCTCTCTCTATCTCTCTCACTCTCCATTGTGTCGGCCGAGCCGGAAAGACGGTGCGCGCCCGCCGACGGAGGTCGACGTCGCGACGGAGGCCGAACGAATCGGATCAACCTCTCGACGTAGAGACCGGGGCGCAATTGGAACGGAACGCATGCTAGACCCCTTATGGGGAGTAGAGGGGCAGGGCTTTGGACTTTCTAGGGATTTGGAACAGCTGGTGGGTCCCCCTATCGCGTACATTCTACGGTTTTGCCGATCGCTCTTCCGGTCGATCCTTCGGGTCCTCTCCTAGCCGCGGTTTTAATAATTCCCCGCGTCCCATTCTCGTCACATTCCACGCACGTACCCTTTA